CAGTTCTTTAAAAAAAGGGAAACTGCAACATCCATAAGTCAGAGGTGGAAGCGGGTGGAATTAAAGGGGGCAGGGGGAAATATCAATATAATATTTTAAAAGAATTGAAAACAGTACAGTTTTCATAGGAAACAGATTTTTTAAATGTACATTCATGACTACATACACTAAAAGTTTCTGTGTAATCAAATTTTATTTCTTTAAAAACTAAGTTACTCAAATTAGGAAGATAAACCTTACTTTCAAATTTTTATGGTCTGTAGAGAGCATTTATTCTATTTGATCGAGTACTTTGCTAACAAAATGTTTAATTCCATAAGAGAACATTTGTAAAAAAATGAATCAGCTGTACTTTCTGCCTGTTTGTATTATCATGAATTTATTGTAACCCAGTCCCAGGATGGAATAAAGGACAAAGATTGAATTAGATATAGTTTAAGATTTGTCATGCTTTTGTTAGAGGTTTAAGAAACAGAATGGAAAAACTACAGTAAAGTTACAGGAAGATTTTATTATCTCATTCATACTTTATATTATGAATTTTAGGAAATAAGGAACACAGGTGGATTTTTACAATGACAAACCAAAATAGAAATAATTTGGCAGATTATACAGTATATTTGATCATCTTTTTCTATTTTATGTCTTTTTATAAGTATGAATTGCTTTTATTTGGTTTGTCGATTTATTCACTGCTTGAGTTTTATTAAGAAATGATGTTTGTAACAAAAGTTATTTACAGGTGGAATCTCTGGGAGTGTGTGTGTGTTTGTGCACATGTGCATATGCATGCACACACATTCATGGGAGAATTCATGATTTGTTAGAGTTCTTAATTATCTTAAACATATAAGATGTCCCATTCACAACTGAACCATGAATTTTTAAATTTTTTCTACAGTCATTTAACTATAAAGTTTTCTCTACAGTCTCATGTTATAAAGTTAAAGCTCCTCAAATTTCTTGCATTCCTCCTTATAATAAGAATTTTTAATTGTACTTTTCCTGTATTAATCATTATTATCTTAAGTACCTGAGACTGGATTTCCATTATGAAGTTTCTTTTTTTCCTCCCTTCCTTTTTTTGGTTTAATGGACAGATTGCTATTTCTTTGCAGGGCACATTCATTGAAATCCCTGCTAGCAATATTAGAAGAGTTATTGCCAAGAGGTTAACTGAATCTAAAAGTACTGTACCTCATGCATATGCTACTGCTGATTGTGACCTTGGAGCTGTCTTAAAAGTTAGACAGAATCTGATCAAAGGTTAGTAAAGTTGAATTTACTTAATGCAATACACGTGCTAACTATCATGTGAAATCCTTTACTTATGAAATGTACATTTTGTAGCTTTTTATTTCAGTTTCATCATCCGGGCATATTTAATGCTAGGGAAAAGAATTAGTTCTCTTTTCCTATAAGAAATAAATTGGTTCTGTAGTACTGAATAAATCATACTTTTTGGTATGATACCTGAAGAAAGCAGTCCTTAACGTTTTAGAAAGTTTAAAATCCAAAACTGGTTTAAGCATATTTCATATTATAAATTTTGTCTTAGATATCACTCTTCTTGATACAGGTTCTTATTTTTTAATTTCTTCAAAGTGCATTTTAGGTTATTAAATTTGTAATATTCCTCCCCGAAATCAATTGAAACTAAGGTTACTGAAAACATAAGAATCTTTAGCATGAACTGATGTGTTGTTTCTTTCTTTCCAATCTGTATAACTTTTATTTCATTTTTTTTGCACTATTGCACTGGTACAGTGATGAATATAAGTAGTAAAAATAGACATTCTTGCCTTATTCTTAATCCTGGGAGAAAGTATTCAATCTTCAATGTTAACTGTAGGTTTTTGTAGATTTTTTTTTTCAGGTTGAGGAAACATTTCTAATTTGCTGAGATTTTTAGCAAAGATGGTTGTTGAATTTTGTCAGATGCTTTTTGTACATCTTTTGAGATTATTTTTCCTTGTCTGTTACTATGGTGAATTTTATTTGTTAATTTCCAAATGTTGAGTCAACCTTGTTTACATGAGTGATTCCTCATTCATGAGTGAATACAACTCGTTTAATCATCAGTTTTCTCATAATTGCTTGGTTCCATTTTTTAAAATTTTGCTAAGAATCTAAATCTGTGCATATGAGAAGTACTGACCTGTAGTTTTCTTTTACTGAGATTTTTTCGTGTGTGTTACTGGATCTCACCCAATGAGTTGGGAAATGTTTTTCTCAGCCTTTATTTTCTGGAAGAGTTTGAGTAGAATTGCTTTTATTTTTAATCGTTTGGTGGAATTTCTCAGTTAAGCTGTTTAAGCTTTTGGCTTTCTTTATGGGAATATTTTTAACAATGAATTCAATTTTTTAGATAGATCTGAGTTATCTTGTTTCTTCTTAATTGAGCTTTGGTATTTTGTGTCTTTCAAAGAATTTATGTCATGTAAGTTACCAATTTATTGGCATAAAGTTGTTCATAGTATTACTTTATTATATATCTAACATCTATATAATCTGAATTGATGTCCCCATTTTTGATATTAGTAATTTGTGTTTTCTAACTTTCTTCATTACTCTAGCTAAAGGTTTATCAATTTTATTGATCTCTTCAAAGAGCCAGCATTTCATTTCGTTAATTGTTTCCATACTTTTGTTTTCATTGATTTCTGCTCTCGTCTTTATTATTTTCTTCCTTTGTTTGATTTAATTAGTTCCTCTTTTTTTAGTTTCTTAAGGTGAAAACTGAAATCAATAAACTTTGCCTTTTCCTAACATAAGCATATAATGTTTTTAAGTTTCCTTTAAGCAGTTCTTAACTGTATCACATAAATTTTGGTATGTTTTTATTTTCCTTTTGATTTAAATCAAGATATTTTCTAATTTCACTCGTGATTTCTTTTTTGATCCTTGAATTATTTACAAGTGTAAGTTTAATTTTCAAATATTTGGAGACTTTTCCACTTTCTTTTGTGATTTCTAGTTTCACTCCATTGTGTTTAGAGAACACACACTTGGTATGATTTAAGTCTTCTCAAATCTGCTGAGATTTATTTTATAATAAGGTCAGGCTTGACGAATGTTTCATTAGTATTTGGAAAGAATGCATAGTCTACTTTTGTTTTGAGAAGTGTTCTATAAATGACAGTTGAAGTTGGTTGATGGTGTTGATCATGTCTTCTGTAGCCTTACTGATTTCCTATCTACTTGTTCTATCAGTTCTTGAAGGAAAAGCATTAAAAACTCCCAATTGTAGTTGTGGATTTATCTGTTTTTTCCTTTTTGTTTTATTAGTTTTTGGTTCATGTGTTTTAAAGATCTGTTATTAGGCACATATACATTTAGGATTTTTTTTGTTTTGTTGATGAATAGACCTGTCATGTAATGTCTCTGCCTGTTCCTGGTATAATATTTTTTATCCTCAAACCTTCTTTATCTGATATTGATATAGCCAGTTCAGCTTTTTTTATTAGTGTTTTACATTATACTTTTTAAAATCTTTTTACTTTTAATGTTATCTAGATCTTTATATTCAAACTGGATTCTTGGAGAAAGCGTATAGTTCTTGCTTTTTTATTCAGTCCTACAGTCTGTCTTTTATTTAAGATGTTTAAACTACTCACATTTAATGAATTTATCCTTTGTTTTTTCTTTGTACAATTTGTTATCATTTGTACCATTTTTTGTCCTTTTTCGTTTGTCCCATTGCTTCCTATTTTTCCTAATTTCTTGTCTCCTTTTAGATTACTTACTTTTTGTTTGATCTTATTTTACTTTTCTCAATTTTATTTCTCCTCCTCTTATGTGGGTTCCCTTAGATAGTATTTACAATATAATTCTTTAACTTATCACAGTCTACTTTCAAATTTTTATTACACCACTTAATGTATAATGTAAGAACCTTACAACAATTTGCCTATATTTCCTCCTCCTAAAAATAATAGCATGATAATAGCATTATGAAAATAATGCTATTATTTTCATGTTTTACTTTGACACGTGATGAAAGCCCCAGAATATATTCATAATGTTTTTTGCTTTAGAAAATCAACCTAGCTTCAGTTTCACTGATTTTTTCCCCTCTACTGTGTTAAGTCTGTGAAGCTTGACTATGAAAAAAAATCTTTACTTTTGATAACGTGGTATTTCCCTCTAGATTACCATTGGAATATTTTTATTGTCTTTATCTCTCTGCTCATATTTCCCGTATGTTTATGCACATTGTCAGCCCATACTCTGTTTTATACTTTCCCATACTCAGACAGTGGTTAATCACTTTTTGTGCTTGTCTTTTCTTGGAGGGAATCATCACTCTCTGACATTCAGGTCACCTGTTTCCTAACTCAGTTCCCTAAAAGTCTCAAGGAAGTTATGATTTTGTTGTTTACCCTGTATTTCCTCCAGCCCTGTTAGGATGAGAATAACTTTCTCTTGTGGCGTTCTACATCCTAAGTGAAAGCAGGACTGATAAATCAGTTTAGATATAGTCTTTCAAGATTACATAAGAATAAAACCTGACAGCTTTTAAAAGTTCGAAGAACCAAGTGGAAAGCTATTTCAGAGCAAGTGATGAATATTCAAAAAGTTAACCATTGAAGTTCCCTTTATAGGTCTTAAATCATACGTGTTCAGTTATGATATAAAGGTTATTATGGGTTAATTTCCCTGGTTTTTAACCTCTCATGAGGCAGGACGCAGTACTGTTTTAGTGGAGGTATAAATTAGTGTAATATCTTTGCATGATCCAGGTTTTATATGTCCTTGCAATTAGGAATTTTCTGGTGTTTCTTCAAAGAGCCCACATTATCTGTGTGTCCTATGTATCTCCACTCCTCTATTAAGCTATGATATGTAACATTCTATAAACATGTTCCACACTTTCTTTTATACAATATGCAAATGAGAATGTCCAATATTCTTATACAAACTGTTTTTTACTCTCTCCTTAGTAAGTGTCACCAACACTCTCCTTTTTGTATGTTTGAAAATATCTGTAATAAAGAGTTAAATAAATAAACTTGAAAAAATTTCCTTTGCACATGTTAGATTTGAGATGCCTAGTAGTCATGTGAGTGGAAGTGTCATGTAAAAATTGGATATATAAGTCTGAAGCTCCAAATACATCAAGATTAGAGGTAGAATTGGAGGAATCATTATCATATAAATGGTATCAAAACCATGGAACTGAAAGTTCTCACCTGGGTACATTCAAAGGAAGAAACTGAAAATTACTTAACGATAGAGAAGAAGAAAACCAGAAGCATATAGTGGCAAAGAAGCCAATAAGAGATGGTGTTTTAAGATGAAAAAAGTGATCAACCGAAGAATACTAAATGTTCGAGTCTGATTGGGGCAGAGAATTTTAAGTGAGGTCTATGGACTCAGGCGGTAGATTTGGAAATCACCAGCTGAGGGAGCTATGAGAAGTAAGCATAATGAGTTTTTAAAAGATTATATTATGTCCACATATTTGAATTTATGCAGACCCTAGCCTTTTGTATGGGTTATCATTAAAAGTTTCTTATCACTGGAAATCCATTTATGTTTCTATTTCTAGAGAGGTTTTTAACAACAACAAAAAAAATTGTGTGTTTCTGGACATTTGAATTAGAAAAGCTATGAACTAAATGAGCAGCTGACAGTTACCATTGACAGTTCTGTAGTATTTATGGTAATGCGTCTTAATCTCTTTCTGAAATCTCCAGCATGCCTTTGGAATGAGCTGTTGTTTATGCAAAATTCCATGATACTATAATAACAGGATTCGTGAATCCTGCCACATACCATTGACTTGATCTTGATCATAAAGCTCTTACAATAAAGAATCAAGTGTAGTTTAAATTTTCCAGCACTTTCATATCCACTGAGAAAAGCAAAAGTATAAATCAAATGCTTTCATTATGATCAGCTCTGTAGGGAGGGAGGGGACCTCAGCTTTATCTTAAAGTCATTATGTATACTGGAAGGAAATTAATTCAAATGGATTCATCATAAAACTATTCATCATTACACTAGGACCTACGCTAACATTGTTTCATCGTTGGCATATGCTATATCCTGTTTTCATAAATTAAAAGCAGCTCTTATTTAATGCAGTGATCTTAAATTTTTTGTCGTTTACCTCAGTAGTAAAAATAAATTTTTGAGCTACTCCCATATATGTTTCTTTAAAGTAACTATGTGTACCACTGTTCTGATGTAATCAGTATATTATAAAGCATACACAGAAAAAGGACATGTGAAAAGAGGGAAAAAAATGAATCATTTCATAAACTTCTGGTTATACAAACCACAGAAAGACCATTTGTCTTCAGAGACATAGGAGTCGATTCTTTTCTTTCTGATTGTGCTTATGATGTATCTTGCAAGTTCTCATGTATGATATCTGAGCAATTTAAAAAAATTGTAATCAAGGCCCAGAAGTAGACTTTTACATTCATGGTTAATATTATTTATCAAGGACCTCATAAAATGCAAGTTTTTCTGATTAGGAAATCCTTACTGACTAAGCAAGCCAACAAACAAAAACCTATAGTTTTTCATCATTGTTTGTCAGTGTAGTCCATAATTTACAAGTTTGAAATGGTCAGTGTTAAAGTTTATTATGAGCATTAACTTTAATATTCTTGTTTTTCTTTCAGGTGACCTTAAAGTATCAGTAAATGATTTTATCATTAAGGCAGCAGCCGTCACCCTTAGAGTAAGTAGCAAACCTCGATAATTTTGGCCTCTAATGTAGCCTCACATCTTTGGATTTTTATATGGTAACTAGAACTCTTAAAGTCACATTTTATAATTTCATTTCTAAAAACATTCTATCATTTGATCTTACTAACTCAGTTTTACAAATAAAGAAACTAAGAATCAAAAGGGCTTATAACTAATTATAGCAAAGTAAAGACCACTTATTCCACGAATACTAATTGATCCCCTAGCTTGTGCTAAATATGCTTCTAGGCATTAGAAATATGATAGTGAATAAAAGTCTCATGTTTTCTGCTCTCTACATATATTCTAGTTGGGAGAGACAAACAGATATACATCAGATAGTGAAAGTGCTAAGGACAAAAAGCAGGGTAAGGGGACAGAATAACTAGGGATGTTAGGAGTTAGCCAAGCAGATGTCTGCTAGAAGATTGTTGAAGACGGAGTTGTGAGGAGCGGGCGCGTCACTCAGAGACATGGCACTGAAGATAAAGTATGCTAGAGTGGAGCTGGCAGGAGCCAAGGGTAGGAAATGAGATTCAGAATTTTAAAAAGAGGATGGAGTCGAGGGCAGCCAGAAGTACATGAGGCCTTGGTGGCCATGGGAAGGGCTAGGGATTTTATTATGAATGAGAAGGAAGTCTTTGGAGGGTTATGAGCAAAAGACTAACATGATCCGACTTATATCTTAAAGAGAAAAAGGAGAGCCCGCCGTCGTGGTTGTGTGGAATACAGCCTGTGGAGAGAAGGGTTGAAGCCGTGAGCTCCCTCAGGAGGCTGTAACAGGTGACAGAAGCTTGGACTAAGGTGGTAGCAATGAAGCTGCTGCAAAGTGGAGATTTGGGTTACATTCAAAAGCAGAGCCAGTAGGATTTTTGATGGATTGGATGTGGGATGTGAGAGAAAGAAAGACGAGGATTTTGGCCCAAGGAATGGAACACATAGAGCTTTCCATGTACTGAGATTGGGAAAATGAGAAAGGAGCAGGTTTGAGACAGAGAATCTCGAGCTGGGCTTTGGACATAGTGTATTAAGTTTGAGAAGCCTGATAGTGTCCCAGTGGAGGCGGCAGGAAGGCAGGCGAACAGTGGAGGTGTCTGATTGGAGATGTAAATGCGAAGCCCAGGCTTCCCGACTTCCTGCTCTGCAGTTTTCTGGCATGCCTTCTTTCTACAACTGGGCCATTTTTCTGGATCACTGCTTAGTAAGTGCTGTAATTAAAGTGCATTTATAAGGAATTTATTTTTCTTGAACAACACAATAATAAAGAATTTTAAAGGTAATACCCTTTTCAGTTGTTCCTATCTAAATGTTCACATGGCTTTTGTCTTTTGACCAAATAATATTTTGAATTATACTAATGATTTTCTAATTATGAATTATTTTTTGCCCTTTTTAAGTGAATCTCTAGTAGTCATTAGCTGCTTGTTAATACTGCATTTCACAAATTTGTATCTGGACCCATAGTAATTATAATTTAAATTTTGTGCTAGCTTTGTCAGGCTTTTTTTTTTAAATCAATGGCTTCACTAAAATGAATTTGTATACCTTTTTCCTTTCCTTTCTCTGTGCTTGTTTCAGTATTATAGAGATTATTTCTTGAAGTTCTACAGAATTCACCAGTAAAAATATCTGAACCTAGTCCTATTTTGAGGAGGGAGCTTTGGCAACTTTCTCATTTTTTCCCCCATAATTAGTAAGCTGTTTAATTTTCAGCTTTTTCTTGAATCAGTTTTGGAGACTTTTATATTCCTAGAAAGTCATTCATTTTATCTGTATTCCCAAATTTACTAGCCTTGAGCCATTTAAATTTGTTTCTTATAATTAATGCCATCAGTACCTGTCTAGTTTTTATTTTTTCATATTTATATCCTCTTTTTTATGTTGACTCATTACATATTCCTTCATTTCCTTAGGTTTATTTTGGTTAGAGATATTTTGGTAGAAAACGCGAATGTGTAATTCATTATAATTATTTTTTATCAATAAGATGATTTAAGATTACAAATTTCCTGTTGAGTGCAACTTAGGTTATATTCCATAAGTTTTTGTTACATAACTTTGTAATTAAATTTATTTGCCAAATATTCTTTATTTGTGTGCAGGGTTTTTTTCCTCTTTACTATTGTCTGAGAAGAATTTAAAATCTTCTGAGGGGTTTGGACTTCATTGTTTATTATTTTGACATAAAGGCATTGTTGAAAGAATGAACTGAGCTTTGAAAGATGGAGAAGTGAAAAGGACATTTTAAAAGTGATGAAATGGAAATGAGCACAGTATGACAGTGAGAGGCCCAAGTAAAATGGAAAATTGATCTTAGGGGATTGGTCAGAAGTCAAGTTAGGTAGGTAGGTAAAACCACATTGTGGGTTGCTGTGCTTACATGTCATACAGGGAGACTTGGATCTTATTCTACAGAAAGCAAAGAATTTTCAAGAAGAGAAATTTGTTTTTGATTTCTATTCTTCAGCATCATTTTCTTCTGTGATATTTGGCAGCATTATCAGTGCACCTTGTTTCCAGGCACATAGTCAGTATGTCTGGTTTTTTTCTTCCTCAGTGTAGTTATATGTATATTAAATAGATAAATGCTAACATGTGGGATATATCATATGTTTATAAATGCTAACATGTAGGATATATCATATGTTTAGGAAATCTCTCTTAAATAGGGAAGTCATTTTTAAGGGCCTGCTCATGTCTGCCAGGGCTGTGCTAGAAAGTCAGGCTTCCTTCCTGCCGCAGGGACATAGTGGGTGAACGTCACCACCCTTCTTCCCTCTCCTATTCTCCTCAAGGTCATGCTGGTCAAATATTGAGGCAGGACATATAGCAAATGGTCTAACACTTCTTAGCAATCAGGTTTAACAAAGGGAGCCTCTTTTTAAACCATGATATAGAAATCAAAATATGTACTTCATCAGTTTCCTTAGGCTTGCTTCAAAAAAGATGGTACGTTTAATTATTCTTCCCAAACATAAAAGATATTTAACACAGAGATCCAAATCATTTTTTCAAACTGAATTTTTATTTCCTTCTGTCTAGCTATATTCACTCTCAGATATGCATAATAATGTTACTTATTTTTTGTAACCACCTTGGTCTAAAACTGCTTCTTTAGTTAACATGTTTTTTTCCTATTTCTGTTTTCTAGCAAATGCCCAGTGTTAATGTAAGCTGGGATGGAGAGGGCCCAAAGCAACTGCCCTTTATTGATATTTCAGTGGCTGTGGCAACAGATAAAGGTTTAATTACACCAATCATAAAAGATGCTGCTGCTAAGGGTTTACAGGAAATTGCTGACTCTGTAAAGGTATGCCTTAAATACTGTTCTTCCAAAATGTTAGCATTTACTTTCTGATAAAGTCTTGACATGATCTGGTTACTCTATGATTGATATATGTATATCTGTATATAGTTATATATATTTATATATATACAGGTGTGTGTGTGTGTGTGTGTGTTTCCAAGTGATCGTCATTTGTGTATATGAGGTTTTAAGGAGGTATCCAGGTATGACCCATTTTAAGAATATTTAACATTCAGAAATTTAGGGATAACATAAATAACAACTGTATTCAATTTATAGACACATTCTTTACTTCCCAAAGTTTAGAATTCAACTCCAAAGATAATATTTTAGACAGATTTTAAAGTTTAAGTTGAAACTATATTTCTGTGAAAGTGATAATGGATAGACCTCACTGTTAACATCATTTTATTCTTAAAAGCTTACTCATTTCCTTTCTAGAATTGAGACCCTCGTACTTAGTATTCCAGAAGCAAAAGTACTTTATTTTTCCATTTCTTTTTTTAAAGCATTTTTGTAACTCCAGTATGGAAGAATCTGATTTCACTAAAAACATCATGTTGCACAGGCAGGAATACAGGGAGTAGATCAGCTTTGACAGCCTCAGTAATTTCTAAGGGTGTTTTGAGGGCAGAAATATCACAAGCCTTGAAGTGTTAGCATTGAACATTTCAGATTCATTTAGATAAGTGATTTTTATT